TTCATATTGGAACGTAAAAACCCCTACATTGAAAAATAAAAGATTCCTTGAACGTTTCATAAAAGTCAGACAAACCAGCTAGGAATGATTGTTCAATTTGGGGGTGACACGTTGGTTCCTATTTATTCTGTAATCATAATGTGTGCTTACATGTCCTCTAGATAATATGAAAAGCATCTTGACAGGTAATGAGTTATATCCGGTTGAATTCCTGAGACGATATCCCAAACTATGATATCGTCATTAACTATAACATCATCATGTCTAGACTATAATATAACACCTATGAATGAACATGATAATAATTGATTATCATAGACAATTCATGCTACCTCCACAGATTACGTTGCGCTGTCTGCCACGATTGGTCGATCTAAAGTACATGTAGTAAAAACTCAGACCAGTTCACGACTTGACCTCTGGCGTGCATTCTTTTTTTCTTTTTTTATTAAGTGTTTTTTTTTCAGCGCTCGCAATAGCATAAGGTCATATGAGCGCGCAGGAAACATTAAACATTTTCAGTTGATAGTCAATTTTGAATTTCACCCTGGTGGCGGTCTGAAGCCTACTCTTATCGATTTTGGACCACAAATGGATCTTTAACCTTCGCAACTTGTACACAGGACCTCCCAGATTGTTCGCCCTTGTCTGAGAAGGCTAGGTGAAGATCTTTCCAACCATAAGATCAGGGGTGTGGCTGAAAGATAGCAGTAAAAAGGAGCTAAGGCGTGTATTCTTTGCCTTACTTACTTCTTCATTTGCATACATATCTGCCCCCGTCGTTTCATGCAAGAAAATTCTGAAATTATGCAAACTGATCCAAAAAATGTGAAATTATGCGATTTTGCTAATTTTAATATAGAATGATGAAGGAAAATAATCAGAAATTATGCAAAAAAATTATCAAATTTTGCTAAGTTATACAGGGTGCATAAAATCTCGAGGACAGACATACTCGATGGTCTCGGCAGGGCACATAGTGACATGCCTTCTAAGCATAAAAACATATTTTTTTTACAGGAGATGGGAAGAAAAACTGTTTCAAAGGGATCTAGATCTAATCTCTTGGATCAAAGAATGTTCTAGTGCCTTCTTGTTGCCGACATAAGCGTGTTGTGATTCACTGACGGAAGCTTCCAGACATAGATAGACGGTTTGATCAAGTGACTATTTCTCTAATTCCCATTGGTTTTAGACCTTAGATATTCTTACACTCTCACTCTTTAGAGAATATTGTAACAACAGGCAAGTTTGATGGAAACAAAGGCAGGGGCAGACAGAGAGAAAAGATACTGGACAAGTTGACAACATTGCTTCGAGCAGCAAGAACAACATACACCATTGCTGCAACGCAAGACAGAGTGAAGTGAAGGTCCATGATCGCCCATGCCTGTCGGCAAGGCACCGGATGATGATGATTCTTACACTAGATGTGTTACCCTTGTTGAGTCATTTTAAGGTATTAAAGTATTTTAGAATATTTCAAAGTTAGACGATTTTTGCAAGAGACCATCGTTATGCTTTCAGTATAGGCTTTTGCGAAGTCGTTTAGCAACAGGCCTACTGGATAGTAGATGCCCAAAGGCTTTGATATGATTATCGCTTTGGCTCCAAGTTCAATATTGTACAGACGCAATGCCTGATTGGTGGGTGTTCTGATGAGGTTTGCTCTGTCTCTCCTATAAAAATTTATCGTCCTTATCGGCTCCTCCTTCCTTTCTTTTTTTTTCCTCCATTGACATGTTAATAGATCTACTCTCTTGTGACCCCTCTAATCTCCGCGGTACTTATACATCCTAATTGTGTTGCAAGTGCCATGAAACTCTAAATAAAACTAAAGTACAAACGCATGAAAGCAGAACTGCCAGACCGGCGTCTGTGGAGTAGTTAAGCGCTTTGCTATCGCTAGCAGAGGACATGAGTTCGATTTCCGAGTGGGGAGAGTACATGTATTTTCATTGAGTATCTCGAGTTGTTTTTTCTACTGGGATGTATCCCTCTCAGTCTGGGTTGTCCCTGACAGACATGGTCGGAAGCCTGCCTCCTAAATGATCTATACTATGTCTATGGGGACGTAAAATTAATTTTTAGAAAAATGGTCTCTACCTACATAATTTAATGAAGTTTCAATTATAGCCACAACCGACGGAGTGAATTCAATTGCTCTGAGAAAACTCTGTCTATCTCGTCGTAAAGTCACACACTGCAACGTAAGATTCTTAATAAATACAGTAAAGAATCTTTGCTGCAACTTTGGTAGCCACTGTGAAACCCCAAGGAGTATCCTGCAAAATGCGTTTTCGTTCTCACCATCCCTCGCTATGTGCGGGTGCCACGAAAACACGTTTTATTTGTGCGACGAGTCGGGTCTCGAGGTCGGTGTGAGGTCATAATCTTAAGTGAATTATCGGTGTCAAAGCCGGCAACTCTTGAGAGCGATAAAGGCAGAGGGTGGCTGTTCGCACAGCAGAGCACGAAATAAAATACTGATGATTTGTTTGTTTGTTCGTTCGTTCGTTCGTTCGTTCGTTCGTTCGTTCGTTCGTTTGTTTGTTTGTTTGTCCGTTTGTTTGTTTGTGAATGAGTGTGAGTGTGACGCCTCATTTGACTCAGATTATTGTTTCCAGGGGCGGAGTAGTGAACCAATTTGGGAGAGCTCAGAAAAAAAAGGAAAGAAGGAAAGAAACCAGACAAAGTCATAATGTAAACACAAAAATACACGTACCGGCTCTTGTTGTGTAGCGGTCATGTGCTTCACTGTCGCACGCTGGAGATCTGAGTTCGATTCCCGAGTGGGGGGGG